TGCGCCCAGATCTCTTCGCCCCTCTGGTATTCCGTCTTCCAACGTCTTCCTCCTGCGCCCAGATCTCTTCGCCCCTCTGGTATTCCGTCTTCCAACGTCTTCCTCCTGCGCCCAGATCTCTTCGCCCCTCTGGTATTCCGTCTTCCAACGTCTTCCTCCTGCGCCCAGATCTCTTCGCCCCTCTGGTATTCCGTCTTCCAACGTCTTCCTCCTGCGCCCAGATCTCTTCGCCCCTCTGGTATTCCGTCTTCCAACGTCTTCCTCCTGCGCCCAGATCTCTTCGCCCCTCTGGTATTCCGTCTTCCAACGTCTTCCTCCTGCGCCCAGATCTCTTCGCCCCTCTGGTATTCCGTCTTCCAACGTCTTCCTCCTGCGCCCAGATCTCTTCGCCCCTCTGGTATTCCGTCTTCCAACGTCTTCCTCCTGCGCCCAGATCTCTTCGCCCCTCTGGTATTCCGTCTTCCAACGTCTTCCTCCTGCGCCCAGATCTCTTCGCCCCTCTGGTATTCCGTCTTCCAACGTCTTCCTCCTGCGCCCAGATCTCTTCGCCCCTCTGGTATTCCGTCTTCCAACGTCTTCCTCCTGCGCCCAGATCTCTTCGCCCCTCTGGTATTCCGTCTTCCAACGTCTTCCTCCTGCGCCCAGATCTCTTCGCCCCTCTGGTATTCCGTCTTCCAACGTCTTCCTCCTGCGCCCAGATCTCTTCGCCCCTCTGGTATTCCGTCTTCCAACGTCTTCCTCCTGCGCCCAGATCTCTTCGCCCCTCTGGTATTCCGTCTTCCAACGTCTTCCTCCTGCGCCCAGATCTCTTCGCCCCTCTGGTATTCCGTCTTCCAACGTCTTCCTCCTGCGCCCAGATCTCTTCGCCCCTCTGGTATTCCGTCTTCCAACGTCTTCCTCCTGCGCCCAGATCTCTTCGCCCCTCTGGTATTCCGTCTTCCAACGTCTTCCTCCTGCGCCCAGATCTCTTCGCCCCTCTGGTATTCCGTCTTCCAACGTCTTCCTCCTGCGCCCAGATCTCTTCGCCCCTCTGGTATTCCGTCTTCCAACGTCTTCCTCCTGCGCCCAGATCTCTTCGCCCCTCTGGTATTCCGTCTTCCAACGTCTTCCTCCTGCGCCCAGATCTCTTCGCCCCTCTGGTATTCCGTCTTCCAACGTCTTCCTCCTGCGCCCAGATCTCTTCGCCCCTCTGGTATTCCGTCTTCCAACGTCTTCCTCCTGCGCCCAGATCTCTTCGCCCCTCTGGTATTCCGTCTTCCAACGTCTTCCTCCTGCGCCCAGATCTCTTCGCCCCTCTGGTATTCCGTCTTCCAACGTCTTCCTCCTGCGCCCAGATCTCTTCGCCCCTCTGGTATTCCGTCTTCCAACGTCTTCCTCCTGCGCCCAGATCTCTTCGCCCCTCTGGTATTCCGTCTTCCAACGTCTTCCTCCTGCGCCCAGATCTCTTCGCCCCTCTGGTATTCCGTCTTCCAACGTCTTCCTCCTGCGCCCAGATCTCTTCGCCCCTCTGGTATTCCGTCTTCCAACGTCTTCCTCCTGCGCCCAGATCTCTTCGCCCCTCTGGTATTCCGTCTTCCAACGTCTTCCTCCTGCGCCCAGATCTCTTCGCCCCTCTGGTATTCCGTCTTCCAACGTCTTCCTCCTGCGCCCAGATCTCTTCGCCCCTCTGGTATTCCGTCTTCCAACGTCTTCCTCCTGCGCCCAGATCTCTTCGCCCCTCTGGTATTCCGTCTTCCAACGTCTTCCTCCTGCGCCCAGATCTCTTCGCCCCTCTGGTATTCCGTCTTCCAACGTCTTCCTCCTGCGCCCAGATCTCTTCGCCCCTCTGGTATTCCGTCTTCCAACGTCTTCCTCCTGCGCCCAGATCTCTTCGCCCCTCTGGTATTCCGTCTTCCAACGTCTTCCTCCTGCGCCCAGATCTCTTCGCCCCTCTGGTATTCCGTCTTCCAACGTCTTCCTCCTGCGCCCAGATCTCTTCGCCCCTCTGGTATTCCGTCTTCCAACGTCTTCCTCCTGCGCCCAGATCTCTTCGCCCCTCTGGTATTCCGTCTTCCAACGTCTTCCTCCTGCGCCCAGATCTCTTCGCCCCTCTGGTATTCCGTCTTCCAACGTCTTCCTCCTGCGCCCAGATCTCTTCGCCCCTCTGGTATTCCGTCTTCCAACGTCTTCCTCCTGCGCCCAGATCTCTTCGCCCCTCTGGTATTCCGTCTTCCAACGTCTTCCTCCTGCGCCCAGATCTCTTCGCCCCTCTGGTATTCCGTCTTCCAACGTCTTCCTCCTGCGCCCAGATCTCTTCGCCCCTCTGGTATTCCGTCTTCCAACGTCTTCCTCCTGCGCCCAGATCTCTTCGCCCCTCTGGTATTCCGTCTTCCAACGTCTTCCTCCTGCGCCCAGATCTCTTCGCCCCTCTGGTATTCCGTCTTCCAACGTCTTCCTCCTGCGCCCAGATCTCTTCGCCCCTCTGGTATTCCGTCTTCCAACGTCTTCCTCCTGCGCCCAGATCTCTTCGCCCCTCTGGTATTCCGTCTTCCAACGTCTTCCTCCTGCGCCCAGATCTCTTCGCCCCTCTGGTATTCCGTCTTCCAACGTCTTCCTCCTGCGCCCAGATCTCTTCGCCCCTCTGGTATTCCGTCTTCCAACGTCTTCCTCCTGCGCCCAGATCTCTTCGCCCCTCTGGTATTCCGTCTTCCAACGTCTTCCTCCTGCGCCCAGATCTCTTCGCCCCTCTGGTATTCCGTCTTCCAACGTCTTCCTCCTGCGCCCAGATCTCTTCGCCCCTCTGGTATTCCGTCTTCCAACGTCTTCCTCCTGCGCCCAGATCTCTTCGCCCCTCTGGTATTCCGTCCTCCAACGTCTTCCTCCTGCGCCCAGATCTCTTCGCCCCTCTGGTATTCCGTCTTCCAACGTCTTCCTCCTGCGCCCAGATCTCTTCGCCCCTCTGGTATTCCGTCTTCACTCAATACATTGTGGTTTGTTCTTTCGGTCGGCTTTTGTCACTGATTTGCACCCATTAAACTGTCATTCCGCCGACAGAGAAGGATTTTTAAAGGTAATTCATAAAGAGATGCTGGAGAAATGTCTGGACCCATGAGGAAGGATGTAACAGGAAACTGGAGACAACAGAGGAACTTGTTCTTACTTTTCACCAGATACCAGTACGACAATCAAATCAACGGAGACGAGCATTTGCGAATGTTAATGCAAAATCCTGAAGGAAAGAGACAACTGGGAAGACCCTAGGCATAGATGGGAATAAATTAGAACTGAAATCAAAGAGAGTGGGTGTGAAGAAGTGACCCTAATTCACGAAGGACAGAAGGCAGTTGCAGGCTCGTCAGAATTTCCGGGTTCGATAAAAGACGAGGAGTTTATTGATCAGCTGAACTACTCTTCTTCTTTTCCTTCTTCTTCTTCTCCTTTTTCTGTTCCTTCTTTTTCTCATTCTTTTTCTTTTCCCTCTTCTTTTTCTTCTTTTCCTTCTTCTTCTTCTCCTTCTTTTCCTTCTTTTTCTGTTTCGTCTTCTTTTTCTTCTTTTCGTTTTTCTTTTTTTCTTCTTTTCCTTCTTTTTCTGTTTCGTCTTCTTTTTCTTCTTTTCGTTTTTCTTTTTTTCTTCTTTTCCTTCTTTTTCTGTTTCGTCTTCTTTTTCTTCTTTTCGTTTTTCTTTTTTTCTTCTTTTCCTTCTTTTTCTGTTTCGTCTTCTTTTTCTTCTTTTCGTTTTTCTTTTTTTCTTCTTTTCCTTCTTTTTCTGTTTCTTCTTTTCGTTTTTCTTTTCCTTCTTTTTCTGTTTCTTCTTTTCGTTTTTCTTTTCCTTCTTTTTCTGTTTCTTCTTTTCGTTTTTCTTTTCCTTCTTTTTCTTTTCCTTCTTTTTCTTTTCCTTCTTTTTCTTTTCCTTCTTTTTCTTTTCCTTCTTTTTCTT